TGGCAAAGGATCAATTGTGCTTCCTGATTTTCTAGTTTTGAAAGATGTCTTACTTGTTGATGGTTTGAAAGCTAATTTGATTAGTATTGTCAAATTTGTGAAAAGATTTAGTGGTTCAATTCTCAAAGAACAAGTGTCAAATCTTGAATGGTGAAGGTGTTTCTCTCCTTGAGGGAAAAAGGTCAAATGATAATTGTTACTTGCTTTCTAACTGTGTGCATGTTTTAGTTCAAAACAGATTCCACTAACTGTGGCATGAGAAGCTTGTAACATGAACTTCAAAGACTTGTAACACTCTCAAGAGGAAGTAGTAAAGGACTACCAAAATTGAACTTCCAAAAGGAATGTGTGTGGTCTCATGTTAACTGGTAAGCATACCAGGATATCTCATAAACCTTGTCAAATCTCAATACCTCATGTGTTTTGGAATGCTCCATATGGATTTAATGAGTCATATGCAAGTTGAAAGTTTGGGAGGTAAGAGGTATGTGTTTGTTGTTTGTTGTGATTTTCTGGTATGCTTGGGTTGATTTTTGTGTGAGAAATCTGATTCGTTCAATGTTTTTTAGAAATTGGTTAAAAGGTTGCTTGTTGAGAAGAGTTCTAAAGCTACAAAGATTGTGAGAATTAGGAGTGACCATAGAAAGGAATTTGAGAAATTGATTTTGCTCATTTTTGTGAATTGCAGGGCATAATTCATGAATTTTTAGCACCAAAAACACCTCAACAAAATGGTGTTGTGGAAAGGCAAAATAGAGTACTTCAAGAGATGGCTAGGGTAATGCTTAATCCCAAAAGCTTCTTGCAAGACTTTGGGCAGAAGCCATTAACACGAAATGTCATATTTCCAACAGAGTTTACCTTAGAAAAGGTACTGTTCAAATCCCTATGAGCTATGGAAAGGTAAGAAACTGATCTCTCATATTTTCACGTGTTTGGATGCAAATGTTACATTTTGAATGATAGAGAGAATTTACGTAAGTTTGATTCTAGGAGTGATAAAGAGTTTTTATTGGATATTCTTCTAATAGCCATGCATTTAGGATATAACATGCGTTCAAAAAGTCTTAGAATCCATAATGTTGTATTTAGTGATGTAGAAGATTTTTCAGAATATTTTCAAGAATGTGAAATTCAAGACATATAGTGTCCTTATGTGCCCACAACAAATGGTGTGAACACTGCTGAATCTCTGAACCTAAACCTTTGACAAATGTGTTGTCACCTACTACTGGTGCTACAGCAACGGATTTGCTCCATGCAAAGAATGTTTACTGATTCATTATTGCAAAATGAGGGGATAGAGCTAGTTGTTGATCTTTTGATGAAAACCTTCAAAGGAGAAATGAAAAAGAAAAGATCCACCAACATGGGTTCAAAAATCTATCCACCTTCAACCATGATTGGAGATCCAAATGAAGTAATGGTCACAAGAAGGAGAAGACAAAATGAAATTAACCATCTTTGTTATGTGTCTCTTGCAAAACCAAAGAATGCCAAACAAGCTTTGGAAGATGAAATTGGATTAAGGCGATGCAAGAGAATTGGAACAATTCGAGAAATGATGTGTGGACACTTGTACCAAGACTAGGGGGAATCAACTAATAGGTACCAAATGGTTTTCAAAAATAAAACTGATGAGTTTGGTAATGTTGTAGAACAAAGCTAAGCTTGTAGCTCAAGGATACACAAGTTGAAAGAATCAACTTTGATGAAACCTTTGCCCCTGTTGCTCGACTTGAGTCAATCCGGTTGCTCTATTTGTTGCCTGCTATCAGATCAAATTATTCCAAATGGACGTCAAAAGTGTCTTCTTGAATGGAATGTTCACTGAAGAAGTATATGTTGAACAACCTATTGGCTTTCAAGAACCCCACAAACATGATCATGTATTCAGATTGAAGAAAGCTCTCTTGGTTTGAAACAAGCCCCACTGGCCTAGTATGAAAGGTTGAAATTTCCTTCTTGAGCATAATAGAACGAGGTATGCTGCCAAAACCCTTTCATTAAGAGCGCTAACAATGAAATTATATGTGCATAGATTTACGTTGACGATATTGTGTTTGGTTCTACATCTCATTCACATGCTCTCGAATTCATTAGTTGATGGAAATGAGTTTGAGATGAGTATGGTAGGGAATCGAATATGTTTTTGGTCTTCAAATTAAACAAATAAACAATGGCATGTTTGTTTCCCAATCAAAGTATGCTAGAAACATGTTAAAAAGATTTTGCCTTGAGAATGCAAAGCATGCTAGAACCTGATAAGAGCTTGAAAATACATATTTAGTTAGTGGTTTATGGGGATTATTTTTGGGAATTAGGCTAATTGGTAAAGTTGCATATTTTCATAATTGTTTTAAGAAACGGGTGTTTTTGAGTGTTTTTCAGGCCACTAGTGCTTAAATGTTATGCTAGATGAAAATCATGTCGGCAATAGAATTGTGATGAGTGGAAATAAACGGATCAAGAATCGGAGTTGAATTGAAGAAGTTATGGAAGTTTGAAGTAAAGGAAGATTCTAGATTATGCTCTAGCTTGAGCATGCCTTAGTCTTTTGAGAATATCTTCAGCTATAGAACTCGGATTAAGACAATTTTATTGTTTAAAAGCTAATTCAAAGTTTACATTTCATATGTTCCATTTCTCCAAATGTCATCGTTATCAAGCTCATAAATCACCATCTCGAAGAACAGTAGAATAATATGGAAGAAGAAGAGTATTACTTGCCGTGGCACCACTTTGTCCATAGCTACCATGCAGCACAATGCGGGGGATAGTCAGACAGTTAAGAAATTGTCATCTATTTTTATGTAGGAAATAGGGTTAAGAGTCTAAACCAAATAGAATTAAGGAAAATAAAACCTAACCCTTGTGGATATAATAGAAGTCTTTAGCATTATTTTGGGGATTCTTTGGGGAGAATAGAGGAGGAAAACCTGTAGAGAAGAAAAGTAACAGAAGTTCTAGAGCTTGATTACAATATAGAGAAGTTTTTGTTGTTCCTTTTATAAACTACGATGATTGTTTTAATAAAGATGATTGTTTCTTTCATGTTTATTATGAACTAAATTTATTCTCTAGGGCTAAGATGTAGCCCAATCTCTTGATTATATATTGATTTATGCTTGTTAATTTTTATTAAGAATTCTTCCTAAAGTTTTACTATTATACCTAATGCTTTTGATTCTTAAGGGCCCTTGAATTGAATGAACTAATGGACTAGGTTGAAATCAAGAGATGATACTTAGTTGGTCTATGGTAGTGAAACCATAGGTTGAGCGAACGCTAGAGATAGGTTACTGTGACTTGTAAGGTTTTGGTAAACTCCATAGAGCATAATGATCTTCAATTGCTTAAATCTGATTAGAGATAATTCAGGTTAGTAATTAGGAGTTAATTCGATAATTATTTGAGAGAAATTTATTGGAAATTTAGGGAGTTTGACCTGTAGGAAGAGCTTAATAAAATTAGCATAAGTGATTGATACATATGAGTAAGAGTTGGTGTGAAGTCTATGCCCTAGGTCTAGTCATCTTATTTTAACCCAAAAGTTTATTTTAATTGTTCTCTGTTTAGTTCTCTTTTTAAATTCAATTGTTAATTTAGTTTAAATTTTCCTTGATACAATTTGGATTGATCAAATTGTAATAGGATAGTTTAACAGGTAATTGATAAGATTAATTCCCTTGGGTTTGATATCCATAATTTTATACTTTATTACTTGCACGATTTCATACACTTGTGAAAATCTACAACAAGTTTTTGGCGCCGTTGTCGAGAAATTGCTTTTATATTATCAATATCAATACAAGCTATTTAGTTGCTAATTTGGCTAGTAATTTATTTTCATTCTTATTTTCATTACTTATTTATTTGTTTTTGTTTTTAGTGCTTTAATTTTTATTTCTTTATTTTTAGTGTTGGACCATACAGAGGACTTAGGTTCAATGGCAGATACAGGAGGAGAAGAAGTTCAAAGGGCATTTAAGGATTACTCAAGACCTACAATTAAGGGATGTGCTTCTAGTATTAGGAGACCACCGATTCAAGCAAATACCTTCGAGATAAAACCAAACATTATTCATATGATACAACATTCGATTCAATTCACAAGGTTGTCTAGCGATGATCCTAATTTGCATATCGCAAATTTTCTGGAGCTATGCGATACATTTTGACACAATGGGGTATTTGATTATGCAATTACGTTAAGGCTTTTCCCATTCTCTCTTCGGGATAAAGCTAAGGCTTGGTTAATTTCTCTACCATCCGGAAGCATCACTACTTGGAATGAGTTAGTTCAAGTGTTCCTTGTGAAGTATTTTCCACCGATCAAGTCTGCCAAGATGAGGAGTGACATCACAAATTTTTTTCAGCAAGATATGGAGTTGCTTTATGAAGCTTGGGAGAGATATAAGGATCTCTTATGGAGGTGTCCTCACCATGGGTTACCAATATAGTCGCAAGTGAAAACATTTTACAATGGGTTGATGCCAAATATACAAGCCATGATAGATGCTGCAAGTGAGGGAGCCTTGACTAACAAAACATCGGAGGAAGCCTATAATCTGATTGAAGTGATGGCAAGCAATAACTACATGAGACCTTTAGAGAGAAATTCAACAAGGAAAGCAGCGGGAGTGCACGAAGTTGATGGCTACACCGCATTGGCTACTCAACTTTCAACCATCTAAAAGCAATTAGGAGTTGCCTTAAAGGTAAATGCTATTGAAACTCATTCTCTAACTTGTGAATTTTGTGCAGGGAATCATTTGTCAAGAGGTTGTCAAGTAGGGAATTCATTTGCTCCACCTCAATAAGCAAATTATATCAACAATTTTCAAGGAGAGCAACAAAATCCATACTCTAATACATATACTCCAACACGGCAAAACCATCCAAATTTTTCTTGGAGTAACAACAATTATCCTAAACCACCTCTTGGTGTTCAAGTTGAAGAGGAGAAATTAAATTTGGAGGATGTGCTTACAAAGTCTATGGAGGAATCGGGTAAAAGATTTGACAAGAATGAAGCTCAACTTCAGAAATATGAAATCTTGTTGCAAAATCAATCCGCTTCCATAAGGAACCTTGAAACTCAAATGGGACAAATTCATAGTATCTTAGCGAGAAGAGTTCAAGGAATGTTTTCGAGTGATATCAAGAAGAATCCAAAGGAGCAACTCAATGCCATCATGTTGAGAAGTGGTAAGGAGTTGAAAGAATCAAGAAAAGCTGAAGACATGAAATTGGACAGAACCAATAATGCCTCAGCACAATGCCTAGGCACAAAACCAGAACTTGAGAACAAAGCCCAAGATGTGAAGAAAGATGAAGCCTCTCTTCCGTATCCTCATAGACTACAGAAACAAAGATTAGACAAGCAATTTGGTAAGTTCATGGATATGTTTAGAAGCTTACACATAAATATTCCTTCTTGTAGATATGTTAGAGCAAATCGCCGAGTATGCAAGTTCTTAAAGGAGATCCTTACACATAAAGGAGAACATGAGAGGATCATGCTCACTGAGGAATGTAGTGCGTTGCTTCAAAGAAACTACCACTGAAATTAAGAGATCCAGGGAGTTTTAATATTCCTCGCACAATTGGTAGTTTTTTATTTTGATAAAGCTTTATGTGATTTAGGAGCCAGCATTAACTTGATGCCATTTTCTATTTTCAAGAAACTTGGTTTATGAGAGGTGAAGCCAACCACGATTCATCTTCAATTGGCGGATAGATCCATAAAATATCCTAGGGGAGTGGTGGAGGATGTCCTAATAAAGGTAGACAAATTTATCTTTCCAGTAGATTTTGTAGTTCTTGATATGGAGCAGACCGGAACATACCTTTCATATTAGGAAGACCTTTTCTAGCTACAAGTAGACTTTAATAGATGTACCCAAGGTAAACTAATCTTAAGGTGGAAGACGAACAGTGAGTTCATGTTTTTAACACGATGAATGTCCACCCGTTAGATACTTGCTTTAAGATTAACATCCTTGATGACAAAGTAGCGAAAACCTTAGAAGAACTACCTTAGCTCACCCCTTAGAAAATTGTTTAGTCAACTCTAGGATTATGGAGGCTGAATTTGAGAAGGTAATGAACAACAATTGGAGCCTTATATGTATGGTGGATTGAAGGATAGAAGTTTTGGATTTTCCTAGATGATCCAGATTGAAGGATTTGAAAGTCGAGCTTACGACTCTAATAAAGCGCTTCTTGGGAGGCAACCCAAGCTCTCTACTTTAATTTTGAGTTTTGTTTTGAATTTATTTTAGATTTTCATTTAATGTGTAAGTTGTGATAACTTTGGTTTAGTTTGATTTATGTTTTATGTTTGTTTCACCCATTTATTTCTGTTATGCACACTAAATTGGCCAAGAAAGGACATAATTTTTTTTTTTTTTTTTTTTTTTTTTTTACTAGATTTCCAATGACTATGTACATGGCAAACTTGCATGTCTTCACGCGATTATCTCCACATTCATCTTGAACAGAAGGGCATTGAGTTGTTCTCTTTGTACATTGAGTACAATGTTCATCTCTAATGTTGGGGTAAGGAATATTTTTTTTATGGCCAATTTTAGTTTCATTCAATGGACATCTTTGAATATCTTTTGCTTCAAATATCTCTTTAAAAGCTTTTGGTGGAATTGTTTTAGGTGTGTTGTAGGGTCAAAGAGTTAACGTATTTTGTTTTGTTTTGGAATTCATACATAAGTCAGTGATAAGACCATGATTGTGAATTTGTGACTTGGATTTCTTAACTTTCGCGTAGTGTAAGATGATAGTGGATGACATTGCATTTAGTTAGACTTTCTTGGGAAGGGTTTGATTGGTTTAATATTTGGAAACTTGAGATGATTTATGTGTGTTTTTATGGGCAATATGTTTTTTTGTGAAAATTGTGCATAACTCTAAAACTCATTTGATACCCACTTGAGGCGAAATCCTAGAATCCGCATTACTTAGGATATGATTTAGGCAATTTTCTTTGGAACAATTGAGCCTTTCACCAACCTATATTACTTTATCCCTATTTAACCCTTTGAGCCTATTATTATACACTTGGTAAGCCTTATTTTTTTGTTGTAAACCTACTATATCTCACCTTGATGATGAAGCCTAAAACATTTTCCAACCCTCTTATTGTGAGACTTAATTTAGGGTGACCTTATAAGAAAACTCATGAAAAGAAGTTTGGTAGAAGAAAATAAATATATTTTTGGACTCACAACCTGAGTATGTGCAATGAGATAGGTTGGGGGTTGTGAAAAGAAAAAAAATGATAGTAGAAAGCAAGGTGGGGTAGATGAATTTTTTTATGAGTTACTATCTTCCTTTAAAAAAAAAATGAAAAAAAAAGAAAATTTACAGAAAAATAGGAAGAAGTAGCTGGGGAGAAGAACTTGAAATGAGGTACATTACATGAGGGTTTATGCTAATGTTGGAAGGAGAAGTTCAATCAATGTGAAATGGTAGAGGGTGAATGAGAGGGAAGTAAGAAAGAGATTGTTCATGGTCATTTACTGAAAATTATCAAAATATTAGTCTCTTACATTTTGTTAAAATTCATTTCCGTTCTTTCATAAACCATTATCCTAGCCTAACGTTACAACCATGGTAAAGACCTAATGATCCAAGGTAGTGATTAGATTTTACATTAGTAAGAGTGGTTTGAAAAGTGAGCCTATGGAGTATGATTGTATGTTTGTTTTATTTTTCTTACTTTGCCTATGGAAGCTATGCATAAATCATCCGGGTTTTTGGATGAATGGTTTGTGAATGATTATGAGAGAGTTAAAAACAAGAGTGTAATTGAAATTTGAGTATTCTTTAATATTGCGTGTTGTTGATTATTTGATTTGTTCACATTGACACAATTTTTGAGACGATTAATGAATGGTTCCTAAAATTTTTGTTTTGAGTCTTGGTTTTGAGTCTAGGTGAGGCTAGGTTTGCATGTTTTGGGTATCATCGCTAGAACCCCTCCGAGACTACAACTCGTCCAACTAGGGCTGCCTAGGGTGTTAAAAGCTTGTTGCATATGCTAATTGCACCGTGACAATCTACGAAAGTGATTTAGGATAGTTTAGATATAGACTTTTATTTTGTTTTTGTTTTCAAGCTAAAAGACTTGTTTTATCGCTTAGCTAGCTAAGGACTAGCAGAACCCCTATGATGTTACCCTAAAGTTGTGCAAAGACAAAAATGGTAAAAGGTAGACACATAAGATGTATCGAAGCATGATTGGAAGTATTCTTTACTTAACTGTAGGCCGACATGATATTTGTCTTAGTGTTGGTGTTTGTGCTAGGTTTCAAAATACTCATTTGATGTTGCACTTGAATGCAATGAAAATAATCATGAAATATGTTTCAAGTATGTGTGAATTTGGCCTTTAGTACTCATTTGATTCTAAAAGTTGTTTTGGTTGGATATAGTGTGCAAATTGGGCAGGAAGTTTGGATGATAGGAAGAGTACTTCAGGATGATATTTCTATCTTGGAAAATCTTGTGACATGGTACAGCAAGAAGCAAATGCAATCTCCCTATTCCACTGCGCGAGACTGAGTACATTGCGAGAGTTGTAGCACTCAAATTTTTGGTTAAAGCAATGTTGATGATTATGTGTTGATCAAGATTGTGTGACTATTTTTTGTGATAACAGGATGCCATTAACATCTCTAAGAATCCAGTCTAGCATTCTAGGACTAAGCACATTGACATAAGACATCATTTCATTAGAGAGTTAGTTAAGCAGAACATCATTGCTCTTGCTCATGTGAACACAAAATCTCAATTGGCTGATTTATTTACAAAGCACTTAACTATGATACTTTTGTTTTCTTGAGGAAACCCATTTGACTAATTCAACTTGAATAGTTTTTCATTTTAGTCGATAAAAGCATGAACATGTTACTTTTATTTTTGTTTGTCAAGATTCCTTGATCTTGTTAGCACTCTAATTGTCATTTATTTTCTCTTATCTGTGTTCTAACTTTGTATGTTGTGTCTATTGAGACTTTCTCTATAACATGACCTTATTGCATCATGAGTTGATTGTCCATTCTTTCACCATCATGAAAGAGCTACCTTGCATGAAGTGTGAAAGTTGTTTTTGAGTAATTTTCTGACTTGTAAAGACCCTTATATTTTGAAAAATCTACCATTAAGAGGACTACCTTTGTGCAAGTGTGAAAGCTACATTTTGGTTATGTTTATGAGATTATTTGCCCTTTGATCAAAGAAAGAAAAAAAATCTTTATTTACTATGCTAATAAGAAAAAAAATGCAAACTATAGTTGGCATGAGGGAAGGAGAGCTTATTTGCAAAAATTTAAAATTGACCAATGTGTCATTTTACCCTTTTGAGGACACTATCACGCACTAAGACAAGCTCTTGGAGATTTTCTCACCTGTGTGTGATTAAGGAAGTGTTTGTTTTGATTGCACATGTTGACAACTTCCGTATGATTTTTGTGCTTTTAAGATTGAAAATTTGACTCTTAGGTTGTTTTTGAAATTGACTGTCTTGACCTTCAAAAATTCATGTGAAGCATTTCATAATTTTAATGTTATGCTCTTTAATTTTTGCTCAATAAGTTTAGTCTTTTGAAAATTTCTGATGTTCTTTGGGCTGTTGTGTGCTCACACAGATTGCATATGTACACTCATTTAGGATAGAGTTCTTTTTTGGAAAACTCTTTTTCCAGCATCTCAAAATCGCGATGCCTTAAATGTGTTGCCCCTTTTATTCATTGAGTCCGCCTTCTTTTTCTAAAACCCTAATATCTTGACTTTTTCCTCTGTTCTTTATGATTTTCTTCTCTCAATTTTTTTTTCATTTTTTTTGTTCTCACATGGAATCAAGGAAGAAGCAATGGAGGCCTTGATAAGAAAAGACGAATCCTTGGGAGGGGATTCCTGACAATGAAGAAGCAGATTGCGGATCAATGCCACCGAAAAACCCTTCTCTCCAGTAAACGATTCAATTCTTAAGAGTGAAGTCAAGAGATAAAATAAATCACTCAACTCCCCCTATTTCCAGTGACCACCAAACCTCGGAATGCTCACAAGATTGAGTCTACCCCTGCCTCAATGAAGAAGATGCTTGAAAAATCCTCTTTGGGTCAGACAACATCTTAGAGAACAGTCATTGGTGGTTTGAAATTGTGTAAAGAAGGTTCATCAAAGGGCATGCCTTCAAAGTCTTTGACTCCATCAGAGTTGGCGAAAAAGAAAAGAAAAGCAATCATGGAGGAGCCTTCGTTTGGTAAAATTTCTCATTTTTTTTTACCTGCTGCTGAGAATAGATTTAGAAGCCACATTGTCAAGAAGACAATTGTGAGCGAAGCAAATGTTAAACTAGAAGACTTTGATGAATTTCATGCTTTGATAAAAGAAAGAAACTGGTTAGGAACTGCCTCTGGGTTGATTGCCCCTTTACAAACTCTTGTCCAAGAGTTTTATGCCAATTTTGGCTTTGACAATGCTAACTTAAAATCGAAAAAACATGATGATAGAGTTTATGTTAGAGGACATTGTGTCCTGTTTATGA